AAACACCATATGATTTCACTTGTGTGGTTTATAGAGCAAACAAAAGGTGAAATAAATAAAAATAAAATAAAAATAAACTTTTGGATAATAAGACCAATTAGTAGTTACCAAAAGAAAAGGAGGAAAGGGAGTAGATAAATATTAGAAAATGGGATTATGGTGTGGTGAAGGGTAGATATGGATTTTAGCAGTGAACTTAATGTAGTATATACACACTGATGAACATCTGAAACTTATATAGTGTTACAATGCAAAGTTAATAAAGTCCTTTGCTTTAATTTTAATGGTTTTTGTCTGGTGATCCCTGCTTTTCTGTTCATGACTTTGTAAAGTAGATTATGTTCATTAGTATGGATGTAACTAGAATGTTTATGAAAATTTATGAGCACACAGAAGGTGGACACATGTATTCCTACCATTTAGAATCTAACAGTTTATTATACTTGTTTTATCATGTAATTGTTAATTTTCTATCATGCCATCAGTTTGTCTTTTTAAAAAATGCATCTCAAAGTAAATGATTCCATTGTTTTTTCTTCTATATTTGTATGGACAGAAGTAAGTATTTTCTAAACAGGAGAAAATAAGGGGCTCTCATTCAGTAGATAGGGCTTTTCAGTAGTCACATTACCCTTAAGGATATAGGGATGTAAAACACACAGGTAAGCTTGAGTCTCCCACAGTTACCAAGCTATGAAAGATTTTATTCTTGTGAAGGGGAAATTCCCTCCTGCTCCACTTTCCACACTACCAGCCCCTGGCCAATTTTGTATCTTTCAGAACCATAGTGTAACCTCAAGCTTTGTTATGTGGTATTTTTCTGCCATATAACATATTTGTTAAGAGGTTAAGGTTTGGTAGTTAAAGATTTGGGTAATTTAAAAAGCCTAAATAATAGCCGTTTGAACAAAATAGAAGTTTTTTTTTTAAAAAAGATTTATTTATTTATACAAAAACTAGGGTACAGGCCAGATGCGCGGGAGGGAGAGAGGATTCACCAGAGACAGAGTGGGGAGCAGAACAGACAGACTGAAGAAATACACTGCTGAGGGGAGCAGTGGGCGAGACAAGAGAGGTCGGCCGCGCCATGTAGGATTCTTGCTGGCCTGGTTGAACCAGTGCTGCAGAGGCTGCGGACAGCTTCACAGTGTGGCGCTCAACCGCCTGCACCACCAGGGAGGCCCCAAAATAAAAGTTTTTATTTCATACACATAAATGTGGACACACCAGGACTAGTTTTATGGTTCTACAAATATCAGTGACCCAAGTTTCCATTTCCTTGTGGTTCTGTTAAGCTCAGTAGGTGCCATCTGTATCTGACCAAAGTGGCTGCTCCCACTCCAGCCAAAAGGAAGAGAAAAAATATTCTTTAAGAATTTCCTAAAAGTTGCTCACACCATTTTTATTTATATCTTATTGGTTAGTACTTTGACATACAGTCACACATAACTACCATGCTACTAAGTACTAGAAGATGTCATTTTGATTTGAGGTGGCCATATGCCTCACAAAACAAAGAGGGGGAATGAATGTTGCAGGTACAACTACCTGTCTTTGCCTTAGGCCCCAACATTCACATTATTTACAGGAAGACATTTTCCAAGCAGATTGTTCACTATTAGAGCCATTTTCAGCATGTTAGCCTGGGGCAAAAGATTCTAGTAACACTGTATCATAGCCTAAAGAAATTGTTTTCTGTTCAGTTGACCATCTTGAACCAGAAGCTTCCCTCAATGATTTTTGTAGTTCTGTAGAATTGTCTAGGATTTTATAAAAAAGTAGATATGTACTGCTAAATAACCTTTACCTTTCTTTTATATTTTGGGTTTCCTTGAATAAGAAGTAAGCATTACTGTGTGGAAGTTTAAAAGCTATTGTCAGTATTCTCTGCAGACAGTAAAGGCTCTCTGGTTGGCACCTGTAAAAGCAAATTATGCCTCTCCCCTCAGTGACCCACTGTGACCTGTAGGGAGAAGTTCAACTGAATGACCCATCAACTCCAATCCTGTTGTTTTTAACTCTTGCTGGCACAGCACCAGAAACCTGTACAGAGGAAAAGTTTCTTCAGCCTCCCTTTTCTATTTGGCTTTAAAATAACCAAATCCAGCCTGTAGATGGTATTGCCTAAGGTGAAATATCTTGAACCTGTATACCACTCTGCTGCACTAGTACTATTGTTAGCAGGCAGAAAGAGGGGCAGTCTCGGGCCTGCCAAACTTGTCTGCTCCTAAGAGGTTCTGCCATCTGCCACATCAAGACAAAACATACTCCTGGTACATAAGATCTTTAATAGAAAATAAGTACAATTAGCATGGAATAGGGAAAAGAGAAAATAGTTTCCAATTAAATAGGCTAAGTTACCCATCCCCTTGTGGGTAAATGCCCAGACAAACAGGATTGGCCCAAAACAGCGCCATTGAGGCCCAAAAGCTTGCCACAAGACTAAAGCACCTTCTGGTGGGGAGCCACAGGAACGGGGTAGAAGGGGCCTGGCAAGTCTGGAAAAAAAAGAGCAAAATCAAATTACAAGTTAAAATAAAGACTGCCATTGTCAGCCTTCCCACAAGTCCCTCACCCACATCTGTTTTCAAGTGTCTCCTTCCCTGTCCCCCAAGTCCCTGGTACAAGCCCAAAGCTGAGATGCAAATGTGCCTTCTTCACATGTCTCCTGCACCACATGTCTCCTTCAGTCTTCTTTTTTCATGTCTCTCCATGTCTTCCTCCTTCTCTCTGTCCTTTTCCAGTCTTTAGTAGCTTTACCTTGCCTTCTCAGCTCAACCCTTGCTTAACGTGGGACACAGAACCTGGGGATCCCCACCCCCTTACTATGACTATTGCATTGCTACACAGCCGGGTTAGAGCCAAATAGGGTATGAAACATAACACGATCAGATGTGTAGTATCTTTATTTTCTATAATATCTTACACTTTTTTAAGATTTATTTATGCATACAAAACTGGGACACAGGCCAGAGGTGTGGTGGGTGAAAGGATTCACCAGAGACAGAGTGGGAACAGAACAGGCGGATCAACTGAAATACACTGCTGAAGGGAGCAGTGGGTGAGACAGGAGAGGTCTGCTGTGCCATGTGGGCTTCTTGTGCTGCAGAGGCTGTGGATGACTTCATAGTGCAGCGCTTAACCCCTTGCACCACCAGGGAGGTTCCTATAATATCTTACATACTTTTTTATAATTCTCATTTTTAAATATTTTCAGGCTTTTCTGTCCTCCTGCCATTTGTTACATTGTTATAAGTTCTGTTGTTTACTTCTGTGGGCCATGGCTCAGTTTTGAGATATTGGCTGAGAGAAGCAGAGACAGGAGAGAGACAGGAGAGAAAGAAGGGGAGAAAGAACTGCAGAGAAGCTCAGAGTGAAGACTTGCTGGAGGCTTGGAGGCCTAACAGCCTCCTGGCACCCCCAGCACCCCTGCCTGCCGTGTACCTGGTTGTTGCACTACATGTAAAAGCTCAATAAAAGCCCGAGAAAGCCACTGAGGGCTCCAGGACTCTCCTTTACCAGCCTGTCTGCTCAGATCATAGAAAACCTGCACTGTGCCCTTCCTGGCAGTACAGTAGGGTAGGACTTTTTTTTATCTGTGATCTTATTGGAGTCATCTTTTCTAGTTTAAAATTCTTTTTTTATTAAATGTTTACTTAATCTAATGACTGAGATTTGGAAACTTAGCCCCATGGAGGTGGGGCAAGAGGCCTCTATCCATGTTGTCCTCTGAGTTCTTGTAGGACTACATAGAGGTAGTACACTTCCCCTGTCTGGTTACTGGGAACTCTGGTAGAGCATACATTGAGGTGTGTTTTGGTCTGTCTCATTTGGGGTTCTTTAGTCATAATCCTAGTATTTCTCTCTATTGTCCAGCAATTTGTACCAAATCATATCAACAAAAATCGCAAGTCCAAGAATGAGAAAATTTGTATGGCAAATTAGAGAATTTATATATAACTTATATTATTTATATAAAACTTATATATGTCTAGGGCCTCCGCTGGTGGTGCAGCGGTTGAGCGCTGGGCTGTGAGGCTGCCCGCAGCCTCTGCAGTGCTGGTTCGTTCCCCGGCCGCGCCAGCGAGGGTCCCACAAAAAAAAAAAAAAAAAAAAAAAAAAAAAACAACAACAAAAAAAACCTTATGACCACATTTTTAGAAAAAGAAAACAAAAAGTTCAAAAGTCAGATCTAAATATAAAGGTAAAACAATAAAGCTAGGAGTAAGCAGGAGAATGATTTCATGATTTTTAGATAGCAAAAAAAGTCTTAAACAGGATTCAAAAAGTATGAGCCATAAGAGAAAAGATTAGTAAACTGGAATTCTCAAAAATTGCCTTTCCTTACCTGCCTCAGTAGCCCAGATCCAGGAAACCTACCCTCCTTCATTTTCAATGCACCGCACACAAGATAGAGCTTTCATTTCATGAATGGGAGTTGGTGGGAAGAAGGGAGCCCCATTGCTGACTGCACTTGCCAAGGACTTATCCTCAACAGGTAGTTGAGAGCAGGATGAGGAATGTAAAAATATTGCTCCTTTCAGAACAAAGGTCCTCAGATTGGCAGCTGGGGAGGAAGGAATCCCTGTGATTTTGGCTGTACTCTGCATCAGAGTCTGCCTGGCTGAGACCAACTGGGGCAGGAAAGTAGCTGTCTTGCTTCAAATTCTATACATACCTTTCTTACCCAGTTTTCATGGATTTTCTTTATTTGTTGCTTGCCTTTTGGACCATTTCTAGAACCTTTCAATACTTACTTTTTATAAAGTATCTGAATTAATAACCAGAAAAGCTATCTGAATTAATAGAAAAGGATCTGAATTAATAATCAGAAAAGCTGAAAAACTAACCCTTGATAGTTGACTACAGAACTGAAGCACCAAGGTGGAGGGTGGGGCAGGGGTAGGAAAAAATTGGGAAGGATATGGGTGAATTGGTGATAGGTGTACTATGGTTATAACACCTGATGGAGGTACCCCAAAATTACCTCAGTTTAAAAAATTAATTGTAAAACATTTTTAAAAAGTTAAGCATGGGAAAAATTTGTTCTTTAAATATTTCTTAGGAGTGTTTCAGTGAAACTTTCATGTTGTTATGCTATAAATTACGCTGTCAGCTTCAGGGGTGTCATTTTGGACATGCTCAGTTAAATTTCAAATAGTCTGTTTATTTTGCTTTTGAACCCAGCTCAGATTTTCTGCTTGTATTATTTCACTTATTTGTATATGGTTGAGTAAGAGGTGGTATATTAAAGTCTGAACTTTAACGTGCATTCTTATTTAAAATTTGGGTCAGTTTTTTTCATATCATTGTAATTTATTTCCTTACTAATCCAAATGAGGTTTTCAATATATAACCTCAGTAAGAACTTAAAGAGAATTAAATGGATTACTTATAGCCTGGCACAGAGCTTGGCTTACAGAAGCTGCTTAATAAATGACAGCAGACAAGTCCCAGTTTTTCTTATTCCTAGTCCAACTCTTATTCCATTTCCCTGTTTGCCTCACCCCTACAATACAGGGGATTTCAGAGCCTAGATTCCAACTTGTGGTAGACAGACTCTAGAGTAGCTCCATTATTCCTACCTTCTGACATTTATGCTATTGTGTGATTTTTTTCTCCCTGAGCATGTGAGCAATGAGTGACTTGCTTTTAACCACTATAATTTGGTGAAGGTGATGGAATTTGCATGATTATGTGCATGTGATTACATGACATACAATTATAATATTGATCTTGCAAGGAGACTTTCTATCTATTATTATGAGGATGCAAAAAGCAACTTGTTCACTGGACAAATCCCTCTTGGTCAAACTTTCCACACTACTGGCCTCTGGCCAATTTTATATCTTTTTTCAGAGCCATAGTGTAACTTCAGCTTTGCTATTTGAAATTTTTCTCCCATATCATATATTTGTTAGGATAAGATTTGGTAGTTCAAGATTTGGGTAATTAAAAAACCCAAATAATAGCAGTTTAAACAAAATAGAAGTTTATTTTTCATACACATAAATGTAGATACCTCAGGACTACTTTCATGGTTCTATCAGTGATCCAGGTTTCCATTTCTTTGTGGTTCTGTCAAGTTCTGAAGATCTCTGACTCAGTAATATATGAACTGGGATAAGAGAACATTATATGTATGTTCTTGAGTAGGCAACAATTGGTAGAGAAAACCAGTGATTTATTTTTCTATTTTAAGTTGATAGTTCTGTAACAGTGCTTTTAGAGATGACAGAAATGTAAAACATCTGATATACATATTATCTATATTTTATTAAAAATTAATTCATACTATTTAATATAGTAACTGCTAAGTCAAAATATAAGTCTGTATTTATATGAAAATACATAAGCGGACCACTAAAGTTATTATTTTATAAGAATATAACATTTTTGTAATAAGCATGCGAGGAGTTATAAAATATTAGACCTCATTCCTGTTGTTAACTCCCACAAATGCAAAATAAAGATGAGAAAGAACAAATGTTTTGAAATACCACTTCTTGTCATAGTTTAAGAAACATATGAAGTATAAAGTCAAAACCATCTGATAAATCAGTGACGTCATTTATCATTTCCAATTATAAATTTGATTGCACTATGGCTATATAATTTCACTAAATTACAAAAGATAATTCAATAGGTATAGAAAAGAATGTAAGCTCTTCTCTCCTATTTTTCGCTACTTTCAATTCTTCACATTTCCCCCATAATATACTTCTTTCCTTAAAAAAGTGAGTCATAAAGTAATTTTTTCTGGAGCTATTCAGGCACTTCCACGAAGTGGTACAAAAATATATGGATTCAAGTTAAAAGTCATCTTAAAGATGATCTGTGGATATATTAGATGCTAAAGAACACAAATATGACATCCTGTGGCTTCATAAGATTATTGTATTTAGTTAATTGGATCCATTTATTTTTATTTTGACTTTATATTTTAGTGTTTATTCTTACAAAACAAATTTTTGCAGATTTCATAGATAGGCCATTACTGACTGAAGGAATAATGTCAACTGTTGCCTTATCCTGAGTTTTCCAGTAACTGCTTACAGTTCAGATTAAATGGAAAGCATTCCCAAATCTCATAAAATTTTCTTACAATTATTTAAATGGTCTGCATAGAACTTTTAGAAATTATTACAACTGTGTTTTAAAACACATGGTTCGTGATTAGATTGGCCAAACTAAAGTACATTCTTTATAAATAAAATGTTTTTTGGTAGGCAGCTGGCTCCATGGCCAGCTGTATTTTTATTTAAAGAAATAATGCAAAAAGATTTTCTAAGGTGACCTCCTCTGCACTCTAAGCTTTTACACTTTGAAAAATGCATAAGTACTTTCCTTTGGAAGCCATGTAGCCTACACATATTTTATAAAAATCACAGAATGTGGGCACATAGACAATCTGAGAATACCAGAAACTATGATGTTCAATGTTAAATGGTTTAAAAGAATTTATGACATAAGGCTTCTCCTAAATGTCCTATAGATTGTTCAACAGTCTTTCATTGTCTTTGTTACCTTCTTCTTTCAATGGCAGGCATTCAAAAAAAATGTGTTTGTTAATTGCCCACTAAATAAATAACTGTAGCAGGCATTTGGGAAGGCTATTGCTACAAAGGGAACAACAGAGATTTTTGAAACTATAAAGATTTCAAGGTCTTTATAATCTAATATCAAGCACTGATAAGGAGGATACAGTAAATATAACTTTAAATGCTAGAATGGGTGCAAGGACATGTTCAATTTCATATGTGTGTCAATGTAATGGAAAAAACAGAAGTAACAGAAACTGAATAATGATCTATGGGGTAGAGCTTGCTGTAATGAGTTTTGGGCATAATTTTGAGAGAAAGATGTTTTTTGGTTAGGAAAAAGGGAAAGTGTGTAGATTGAGTCAAGAGAATGAGAGTCAAATGCCTGTACATAAAGTCAATAGGTATAGGATCTTAAAGCAAAGATACGACTACAATTATACTTCAGCAGAGTTCTTTTCATGGCTATGATTAAGATAAATTGGGTAAGGAAGAAAATATGGGAAAGGAGGCAGGACAATGGTGGATATTAAAGATGAGTAAGACCTGGACTTGGGTTATAGCTACAAAATAAATTGAGATTTTCAGGTGACCCTCAGGAGCCTATGTGATTCCATTTACCTTAAAATCCAAAATTTGTATTCAAACATCCTTAGGGAAAAGATTTCCAAATATTTTGCCTGTTATTATAGAATCTCCAAGACTGAAAGAAAAAAAAAAAGTAATTCAAAGGGAACACGAGATGGCAGCAGTTATATCATATAAAGAGAAAGATTAGAGAGAGAAAAACATTTGAAATCATTTTTAGGATAAAAAACATATAGCACTTCATTCCTTATGTGCTATATTCCTTTTCAGTTCAGAGATTACTCAGTCATTGGTTTCATGCTTCACAGCACATCTGAGGTTCATTCTGACTATCGTAAAAATCCTACTCCATTACATGTGATTATTTCCTAAAATAAAGCTGTTGCTGTTTACTGAAGATTACTGTTCCTCTGTGTTATCTGAAGCAGAAGCGTTCTGGATGGTGTAAATTCGTTTTAAATGTTCCAGCATAGTTTTTTCTTCTTCTTCTAGTCTTTCATCCTTCTTCATTTCCCACCTAAAAGAAGAATCACATCTTAGTATTTTTGTAACTTCCAAACTATAGTCAGCATTCCATTATTCAGACTTGAATGTGTACAGTCACTGGTTTATTGAGGCGTCTGTTTCTCCTTGTTTATTCTCCTCCTGATTGCCTCTTGGCAACACAATTCATTGGCACTGCTTCTGCAGAGTGGGCCAGGGAAATGGGAAGGGAAAGTAAAGTCAAACCAGCTCTGATCCAGGACAAAATTTTAAATTATTATTTTTTATGAGGGTTCTGGATTTCTAGGTTTTCCAATTTTATATAATTTACCAGTATATACGTGCATATAAATAAAATCTAGAATTAGCAATTAATAAGTATTTTTCATAGTATTTTCCTCTACTGATCAACATATCAATGACGTTAAGCATTCCAGGAAGACTTTGGCAACAGAAGAGTATCAGGCTAAACTGAATATACTTTAAAGGCAGGTCAGTCTATTCCTACAAATAAAGTTAGATTTGAAGTTCACCCAAGAAAAGCAGCAAATTATTAGCAAGTTTCCATAGAACATTTAGCAAGAGAGACTCTGAAATCCATTTATGGAATACAGAACAAAACAGAACAATATGTGTATATAATTTATAAAGTAAATATGACAATAATCCAGATACAATTAATCCTGCCTTCTTCCTTTCATAGATGCCACCTCCCTAGAACTGGTCCACCTCCCTAGGACTAACCCAGCACTCCAACAAGAAATTATCGGCATACATTTCTTTCCTATTGTCCTTACTCCTATTTCTACCATCCCCTAAGCCATTCGCCATGACTTGCTATTACTAAAGGATTTTAAATCCAATGTAGATACATCCCTAAGGATCCTCAGCTGTAAGGGAGTCAAGACGATAGGATTTTCAACAAATAAGGAGCTTTTCACTGAATGTCTTCCAGGGGCTCCGATTTTATTATAAGCAGAACTCCTGGATAAGAAACAGCCTGTCATACAGGGGTGGGATTTTTTGAGTTTTGAGTGGTTAAAAGAAAGCATGGACATTGCATTTTCTGTGGAAACTTCCTAGTAGGATCCCTATTTCCACACAGGTCTTCTTGTTGATGTGCTGGGTTCAGTCTGTCCTGGCCAATCTTGGGAAGTGGTATTTATGAGATATCAAAGAGGAGAGGAAGAGTAAAGCGCCAAAAGGAGTTATATGAGAGATTAAAACTGAGTTTAATTTATAGTTCTTCATCCTCTGACTGGTATTCTCCTCACCTCCTAGCCCTAACTTTGGCTGGTCTAAAAACTGCTATTTGTGGTTGTCTTAGTTTCTCCATATGTTCTTATAGTCAAAGTTAGGTCATTGGTCATATAGGTTTTATTCTCATTACCACATTCTTCAAATTCATGACACAAAGGGCAATACTAAGATTAATATTTTGGGTTTTAACATTTAGCAGACAAGTTTACCTTATTCTGCTTTCATGGGATTTTAAATAAAAAACTGTGAGTACCCATTTTATATGGGTGAATATAGCCTTGTTAAACTGAATTCTTACCAAGCAAGAACATAAATAACAGCAGCAAAATACTTACATAGCATTAATTATGACTTAGGCATTGTTTTAAACACTTGACATATAACTCTTTAAGTCTTTGCTAAAAAATATTATTCCTATTCTACAGAGGTAAACCAGAGAGGTCTAATCTACAGGGGTATTTTACAGAGGGCACAGACTATTTTTTTTTTTAAGATTTTATTTATTTTTTTATACAAGAGCTGGGGTACAGGCCAGATGTACGGGAGGGTGAGAGGATTCACCAGAGACAGACTGGGGAACAAAACAGGCAGACTGACTGAAATACACTGCTGAGGGGAGCAGCTGGCTCGACAGGAGAGGTCTGCCCCGCCATGTGGGAATCTCCCTGGCTGGCCGAGAACTGAACCCCTGCTGCAGAGGCTGTGGACAGCTTCACAGAGCTTCGCTCAACCCGCTGCGCCACTGGGGAGGGACAAGGGTGCAGATATTAATGTCATTTTCCCAAATATCTTTGGATCAAAATCAGGGAGACCTGTTCTAAAATCTGAGTTTGTAAATGCAACACTAACTACGGTTTTAAAAGCATTTTGTAGGTATTAATTCCTGTTAAAGAAAGGTGAAATAGTTCGTTTCCTGAAAAAGTGTTGCCCAATTGCACTAGCAATGAAAAAAAAACTTTCTAAAATTCATATAAATAACTTAAATAAGTCAAAACAGGAAAAGTTAAGTTTGCCTTTTCTCTCATGAAAGGTGCTAATATGGCATTGAGTAAATTATTTTGTGAATGTCAACAGAAAAAAAATGTAATATGCACACAAATATTTTGGTCCTTGTCTCCACTTGTGAAAATTGAAAGCACAATCTCTCTGCTTCATTTAAAAAAATTGTATAATTAATGTAATTTAAATGACTTGTATATAGAATCCAAGATTAGGATTTTTGAAGCTTCATGACAATTAATAGGCACTTCATCATATAATTGAGTTGCTAGTAAGTAATGATATTAGGCAAAATTATTTACCTAACACAAACTTTTTATATTTTCTTGGTGTTTATTAAGAAGAAATCATTTGATAAGGGAATAAAAAATTATAAAAAGAGAAAATATATTAGAACTACATTTTCCCTAATAAAATGACTTTCATTGAATAAGAGCAGTAGGGATTTCAAATATATGTTTATTATAAACATTGTTATAAATCACAAATATAAGTTCTTAAGAGAAGTTTATCTCTAATTCAGTCACAGTTTTAGTCCTTGTTAACACAGTGTAAAAAACAAGTCAATTAAAAAATATATTGGAAGAGAAAACAATCTATCCATTTGTTAAACAATATTGACTGGGCAATCTGTTTAAAATGTCTATTCCTAGTTTCCTGTAATATATTTAAAATCTGTAGTAGAAATATGTCCCTACAGAAACCAGAAAATGTCAGAACTGGTATATTCTATTTTCCCCCAAAAGCCATCCTAAACTGATTATATTTTTGTTTTTCCTGACTTGGATATTTGCTACTGTTCCTTTACTATTGCTAATTTCCCTCCCAGCCTACTATGGAAAAAACCTGATCCCAATCCAACTGGTGGCAGTGGATATGATGTACCTTAGACACAGATGAACAAAATCCCATAATCTTAATATCTTTTGAAATGTGTGCCTGGGTAGGCAGACCTGGGAACATGTCCTGTCCAGGACTAGGGGATCGATCCTCTTATTTATCATACAAATCAGAGCCCCTTAAAACCTGTGCTGAGATACTGTAACAGAACCAGCATTCACAGCTTTGTTCATCAGCAATACTCTGAATGACATGGAGGTTCTTATTCTCAGTGGATCTTCCTGGATTTAAATACATAGTCAAACCAGGACCAGAGGTATCTTCCTGCTCCTCTGTATATTATGTGAATATTAGTTAATATCACAGAGCTCTTCCATGCTCTGATTTTTGTCATCTCCATGAGCAGCAGTAGCTTTGGGGTCTCGATAAGACTTTGAGGAGTACAAAACACTAAACAGTCACAGATCAGTGAGAAAGTATTATGGTGATGCTTGATAAAATCTTTCATTCTGGGGAATTTTGGGGTAGTTGTGTGTCAGAGCCGGCCATATGATGTGCAAATATCTTATCCCATTTGATGTGTTTTCATTTTCTGTACAGAAGTTTCTTTTTCTGTACAGAAGATTTTTAAGTTGATATGATTATTTTTGCTTTTGTTTCCCTGGACATTGTATTTGAGTTCCCTAGTGTATCTCTAGGTCTGATGTCAAGAAGCATATAACCTAGGTGAACTTCTTTAATATGCAACAATCCCACACAATAAGGAGTTGTCTTCCCAAAATATCAGTAGCATCCCTATTTAGAAACATGTGACCCAGGACCTCCAAAATAATGTTGAATATCTCTGTCTAGTCCATTATTTTAACTGAGAAGGTCTTAGTGTTCCACTGCTCAGAATATAATTTGCTGAAGAGCGGAAGTTTAGAAGACAAGATACTGGGTTTGAGTCGCTTATAAGCTGTGTGGTTTTGGGCAAATCAGATAAACTATGCCTCATTTTCTCTCTCAATGAAATGGGAATAACACTGCCTGCCTCAGAGTTGCTGTCAGCATGAAATGATTGTGCATAAAATAGTGATTCACTGGGTGATAACTATTATATATCATGATTATATAATAGTACATATGTGATAATATATATTATAATGATTATTTGGTATATTGTTTAAAGTTGCAAATAGCAGAAAACCTGACTGCTTAAAACAAAACAGGGGTTTCTGTTTTTCACATCTCAAGAAATCGTGAGCTGTGTGACTGCTGGTATGGATTAATATCTTGCAAAAGCAAGGCTAATTTCTCTGTGGTTCTCTTGTCCTTTACCACATGGATCTAAGACAGATGGTTGCTGTAGCTTCAGCATCATGTTCTTGTTTTAAGTAAGGAAGGAAGAGGAAGGGGCATACCGACTGCCCTGTTTCTTTTTATTAGGGAAACAAAATTTTTCCCAGGTTCTTCATAGCAGATCCTGTAGTCATACTATTAAGGTTTGAATTGCAAGACTGTTTTTTACTGGCTTTGTGATACTGGGCAAGTTTCGTAACTCCTCTCTGCCTCAGTTGTGCTAACAGTACACATCTCAATACTATCATGTTATAAAGAGTAGGTGAATAATGAATTATAAGGGCTTCATAAGATGTTGCTCTTATTTGATGAGTTTCAATATCAAGTGGCTTCTCCACAGCTCCTACATTGCTGTTCCCTTTTCTGTTTTCTTCCAATTGTTTTATCTGTTAAATTCTCTTTGTTATCAAAATGTGGGTAAAACGAAGTTGTTAATGTAATAGTGGTTTCAATGAGTGTTCAGTTATACATTTTTATGGTCATATCATTTTCTTGCTTGTCTTTCATGAAGGAGGTATTTCATGCTAGTCCATTCTGTTTAGCCTAGCATGATCAAGGTTTTTTTTTTTTTTCCCCTATAATCCCTTTGATGTA